ATAACCTTCCTTTTTGCATATGCCAAACAACATGGCTTGTTATGAGCTTGTTCTTTGATGTGAATTAAAAAACAAAACAGCCAGCCTACTCACGTTAAGCTAGCAGGGATATCCTATATCAGCTTGGCTGTCTTGCTTATCTGCTAGCATGTATGTTATATATTGTTTTCCAGTGCTGTAATAGGAGCCAATCTGTCAGAAAAGGGGGGTATGAAATTAAACCAAAATTTAAAAAATCTGGCCTAAAATGGAGGATGACAGCAATGTTTCTTTTGCTGAGTTCTGGGTGGTGATTATTTCTCACCACATTTTCTACCAGGTGAGTGGGGTTCTTCACCCATTTGTGCACCAAGGTTGGTAATGTTCGTGCCGTTGAATCAGACTTGGTTATTGCAGCTTTGTGCCTGGTTGTCTGTGGCAAGGGTAAAAGGGCAATGCACATGACCAGGAGTGGCATCCATGCCAAGATGGATTCCAGATGGAGGTAGTCATTAATTAATTTCCACATGTTGTCTAGCAAAGAGAAAGTGCCTTGGCTGTCTGTTCATCTCTGAACTACATGGAAAAACACAAATGCTAAGTACATATATGCTACTATGGAGCCAGTTGTCTAGAGCAGGAGTCAGCAAACTTTTTCAGCAGGGTCCACTGTCCCTCAGACCTTGTGGGGTGCCAGACTATATATTTTTTTTTTGGGGGGGGGATGAATTCCTATGCCCCACAAAAAACCCAGAGATGCATTTTAAATAAAAGGACACATTCTACACATGTAAAAACAGGCTGATTCCCGGACCGTCCATGGGCTGGATTTAGAAGGTGATTGGGCCAGATCTGGCCCCCAGGCCTTAGTTTGCCTACCCATGGTCTAGAATGTGGAATGCCTCCCTGTTGCTCTGCACTTTGGTTTATGGCTATCCCCCCCACCCCCATCTCCCTTTTCCTCTCCTTTGTCATCTTAACAACAGGCTGTTGATTTTTGGGAAGGAATTTAGCATGCAAAAGTCTCAGGTTCAATCCCCAGCATATCCGGAAGGGCTGGGAGAACCCCTGTTTCTGAAATCCTGGAGAGCCAGTCCCATTCAGTGTATACCGTACTGTGCTTGATAGGCCAGTGGTCTGACTCAATAGAAACAAGTTTTCTATGCCCTTGGGTTCTTCCACTTTTTATTGCTTTACTGATGGCATATTTGTTTTCCAGAAGTGTTGTGCAGGCTAACAGGAGAGAGAAAAGTATTTAAATTTTATTAAAATGTGCTGGCCCTACAAATCTCCCCCAGTTCAAACTACGAGGTACCACTGTACAGTGGTACCTCGGGTTACATACGCTTCAGGTTACATACGCTTCAGGTTACATACGCTTCAGGTTACAGACTCCGCTAACCCAGAAATAGTACCTCGGGTTAAGAACTTTGCTTCAGGATGAGAACAGAAATCGTGCTCCAGTGGCACGGCAGAAGCAGGAGGCCCCATTAGCTAAAATGGTGCTTCAGGTTAAGAACAGTTTCAGGTTAAGAACGGACCTCCGGAACGAATTAAGTACTTAACCCGAGGTACCACTGTATCTCCTTACTCTTAACCAAATTCCTCCTTGGCAAGCCAGATTTAAGATGTTTCGGTATATGTATACTTCTTAATCTTGTTCTTGCTGCTTTCGCTCAGTTACGCACAATGATGCCTTGGCAATTGTTGTTGAAAAGCTTTTTCGTATAAGTCAATATAGGAGGCCCTGTGTTGTAAAATCCAGCCCTCCAGAATTCCTCTTGGATGACATACAAGCACCTCAGATTGCAGAGCCTCACGTGGTGCCCCTCCTTCAAATTAAGCCTCTGCAGCTCTCGGCTTTTCTGAATCGTCCAAGTTGAGTTACAAATTGCGCAGCTCTTTGACTTGGGGCTGGGAGGGGGGTTTGCGCGCATGCATGCTATACTGAGTAGTTTGCGGAAGATTTAGAAGTTTTTCCTATTTGCCTTGATTCCACCAAATCTCTGCATTCTGCTTTATAAAACAAATAAATGTATATATACACACACACTCCAGCTTCTGCTTGTCTTTCCACCTCTTGGTTTCTGCTGTGAAGCCTCCCCAGAGCAGCCATTTATGAATGAGGCACCAGTGGCAGGGGGAAGGCAACCTCTGATACGATAACAGCCTGGCACTCTTGTTTCATTTAGTGGCTTGTGAATCTTAGAAAGTCAACCTCTGTTTTTATCCATTTTACTTTTCGAGTGGTTTCCTAACACTGCAGTTAAACCAGAGTTGTTTTCTGTGTGTCCCAGATCCCCCCTCCCTCTTCCTGAACAACTGTGTGTGTATGTATGTGTTTTATGGCTGAGGAACACATCAACCCAGCTCTCGTTTCTGCATTCTTCCTCCAAAGACTCCCCTCCCCCTGGTTAAAAAACAAAAGTTAATAAAAGCATTGGTTCCTTTTCCATACTGTTTCCAAGTAGTTGTGAATTCATGCACCCAGCAGTTGTATACCATGATTCTGTGATGATATGGTACAGAAGACACCTCTGCATGATTTTTTTTAGTCTGTTTTTGTTCTGCAGAGGGATTTTTAAAAGTGTGTAAGCAATGCATAGAATTAAATTAAGCAAATGCTATCAGTTCACCCAGTTTGTGTAGGTGGTTGGACCCTTTAGTTGGAGTTTTTATTTTATTTTTAAAAAAGGAATAAAGTTGCCTTAGCATGGAACACAACACTGACCAAAGCCCCCCCCCCAAGCTCCCCATAGAAGCCGAGGGATTTTGCACCCAGGAATGCCCTAGGACTCACACAGGCTACAGTCCCCTCTTCCCCAGTGTGCCCCCCTCTTCTTGTTGGCTACATTTGGTAGCCGGTTGTTTGTGGCTCGCCAGACCCCTCCTGTTGCTCACAACTGAATTGACGCTTCCCCGACAATGGCACCCTCGCTTCCTATTCAGCGGGGAATGAAGAGACTAGTCATTGTTCCTGGGCATAATTGAGCCTCTATCGAAGCAAAAAAACAAACAAACCCCCAAACAAAACAAAAAACAAAAGAGATGGACAACCCAGTTTAAAGCTTCTTGTTTGAGCCTTCCAGCAGTGGTGACTGCATAGGGTGAGAAACCTAATTACTAACAATAAACTCTTTGAAGCTCGTGCTTATCCCCTTTATAGATAAGGACCTGCATGGCAACCGCAGTGAGAGAGAGATGGAGAGCGGGAACGTGCACACGAATCCTAGTGGAAATAGTTCCATTTCCCTTTCATTCCACTGCAAGAATATTTGGTTGCCACAGCCTTTTCTAAGGAACAGGGATATATCCCTATCTAGGCATTCAGTACCCTTGCATACCAAATACCTGCATACGGTTAAAACTATTATTCTCTCCCCTCCCCTCAAAAAAAGCACGAGGTATTAGTTCTTCGCTTCTCTGTAGTTGTGGGGTGAATGTATGAATCCTGAGAAACCCCACAATTTTTTAATGTTGGGAAGCTAGTACTTAAGCTCTGGTTCTTCCAGAAACCCCAAATGTGGCTTTGGGTAGACCATCCTCATCCCTGTTCCCCCTGCATGTAAAGAAGTACTAGTGTCAACATAGCCAGACCTTTGGTCCATTGAGCTCTGTATTGTCAACACTGACTAGCCCAGGATATCAGGCAGATGAAGAAGAATACATCAAGTGAATTCCTCAGGCCTTATGCCACCCACCCTGCCCTTGGTTCAAGTGAGGCTCTCTGAGAAGCTGGTTACAGCAACTCAACCTCTGTCGAAAAGTACAACAAAGTTATCAAATGCCGGTCAGAGTCAAGCGATAACGTTAAGCGTAGGCAAGCTGGGTTAACTGCTGGAAAAAGCTTTGTAGTAAAACAAAACAGTGTTGCCAGCAGCAAAGGGGGAAGATAATCAGATAAACGCTTCACACTCAAAATACAGAAATCAACCAGAATGAAAGCCAGAAGGGCAAATTAACTGAAGCTTCCCATCAGACTTAAGGAATAGCAAGGCAGGTGTTCCCCGTGCTTTTCAACATTTACATGAAACCACAAGTAGAGGTCATCAGGTTCAAGGTGTGCCAGGTTCCATCCTTGGTGTCTCCTGGTAGGTAGTCCTGAGAAAGAAAACCCCTGTCCAAAACCCTGCCAGCCAGTATGGACAATACTGAGCTAGATGGACCAATGGGTTGACTGCGTAAGGTAGCTCCCTATGTTTCTATGGTTTGTATCCAGCCACTTGCTTGGTGAAGCACTAAAATAGACTAGACAAGACTAGATCAGGGAGGTCCAACGCATGGCCCGAGGGCAACATTTGAGCACGCGCGCGCGCACACACACACACACACACACACAAACACAAGCACAAGCTCCTATCTGTGGTTCAAAGACAGAGTTGATCAGCTCCTCATAGGCACAGCTTACGATCCCCCACTTGGAGCTCCTGGTGTTGCAGAAACGTCCCTCCAGTGTTAGCATGCTAATAGAGAGGACTCTTGGTTTAAAGCCAACTAGCACTAGACTGTTCTGAAGTCAGGCCACTTGTTTGTACCTGGTTTTTTTTTGGGGGGGGGGGAATGATCTAGAATAGGGTGTTCCAACCTCACTGCAGGATGTGAAAGATAGCTTAACATCGCTGCCTCCACTTAAGCAACCCTCATGTTGAGTTTGGCGATGATATCTTAAAAGGCAGACAAACTTATAGACAGCGGATAGACAAACTGTTTTCTAAAACATATAGTAAAGGATAATAATAATGTGCACGAGCATAAATGCTCACGGGTTCTGAAGTGGCTGTGAATGACCAGGAGCAAGACATGGGGTGTGATAGCAAATAGCTTGATGAAGGTCCAGTGTGTGGCAACTACAAGTAGTAATATTTCTTTCCATTGGCCATAGAGTAACTCAGTTAACCCGGTTTAGGTCTGGGGTTCCCAAATTGTGGATTGCAGACCACCAGTTGTTAGAACCATAGAATGCTAGAATTGGCAGGGGCCCCAACGGTCATCTATTCAGACCCTCTGCAAGGCAGTAATCTCTTTGCCCAATGTAGGGCTTGAACCCACAACCCTGAGATTAAGAGCCACATGCTCTACTGACTGAGCCGTCCCAGTGGTACTGTTCACCAGCTTCATTCAGGTGGTCTTTGGTCTGCCGGTAAAAAATGGCGGGGGCAGCAGCCATGAATGGTGGCTGCTTTCGGCTGCTCTTAGAACCTGGCAGCCTACCCATAAGGTAAGCAGGAAAGGCCAGAAGTAACAAAGTCGAGCATAATCTGAGGAGCCATCCCTGCTATAGGGGGTGAACATGTGGTGGCAAAACAGGGTCTGTCTGCTTTTAATTGATTGGCCTGTTTTCAGCATGAGAAAAGTGCAGGCAAGCACCTCTGCTCTATTCCACCTTGCAGTAACTAGTGGCCGTTCAAAACTTTTTGTCACTAACAGAATTAAACACACACACATACACAAAGACACACATGCTAATATAATCCTGGTTCTTTGTGACTGCCAGGCTGGAAAGGCATTTTGTAAGTGGAGGAGAAGGGGTTAAACCTGCCTGCCAGCCGGATGCAATAAATATGCTGTTTGCATAGGAACCCAAAAGGCTCCCAAGGCAAAGACTGTAAATGGCTGCTCTTCAGATGGCCCTGCCCGTCAGGGGGACCTGGTAAAGGGAGTAACTGCGCATGGGGCTTCCTGCTCTGCAGCTGTCTTAGTTTCCAAGTGGATGCACGTTCTAGGAAATAATAATAAAAATGGAGGGGAGGAGGAGAATGTCTTGAAGTGGCAGTGCTTGGACAAAGGTGGCCAAGAGGTTATGATGGTGAAAAACAACCAGTGGAGGTGAAGAATAGATGGGCTGATTTGTGTGACAGGAACTGGAATTTAAGAGAACTAGCTTTAAAGTTGTGGAAGTGACCATCTATGCCTGTGTTCAAGGTGGTAATTGGAGTCCGCTATAAACTGTCAAATGTTTTATGAGCTGTTTCCGTCTCTTTTCCTTTAGCATGCTTTTTTTTTTTTTAAAGGTCCCCACTCCCTAGTTTTTGTGAAGAAAATGTAGAGTTCTTTGCAGGAATGTGACAGTGTTTCTATGTAGTGCATACTCTTTTATCATTCTTTTTTGGCTGCAAATAAATTTACATTGTGCTGTTTAGTGTTCAAGAACATAAGGTGAGCCCTGCTGGATCAGGCCAAGGGACCATGCAGTTCAGCATTTTATTCTCGCAGTGGCCAACCAGATGCCAATGGGAAGCCCATCAGCAGAACGTGAGCACAACAGCATTTTCCCGACTTGTGATTCCCAGCAACTGATACTCATAGATGGGGGAATGGCTCGGGAGAAGTTCTGGATTAGCGTAGGTAAACACGGGAGGAAAGTCTAATTGGAACAGCCATGTAAAGTAGCATAGAGAATTGCGAAGTTTAGGGAAAATATTTGTCTTGGAGGCTTAGGAGATGTTGGGGAGAAAGCAACAGAAGAGCAACTGCAGATAAGAATCTGAACATTCACATTGCTTATCTAAAGCTTTTAAGTCCAGAAATTGGATTGTGGAAAAAGGGAAAGAGTGACAGTTCTCAGAGCAAGACTACACAGTAACTGCGATTTAACAGATGTGACTACTGGTTGCTTAGTAGGTGAACGAGGGTGATGTTTGTTTGTTTGTTTGTTTGTTTTCCCTGTACCCCACCATTTAATGTAGTTATCAGGGCAGCTTGCAGCAAAATACAAAACATAGTAAAATAACTAATATAAAGAAAAGGCAGAAAGTCAGCTATAACTTAAAAAATAATGTGAAATGGAATAAAACAGTTGTGAAGCCGCAGGGGGGGAAATGCACTTGCACCTCTGGCATTAAATACCCTGCCGGAGAGTCTCTCTTCCTCATTTAAATTTATCTGCAACAGGGATTGGGAAGGAACATGTGACCCTTGCCAGACTCCAGCTCCCATCATCCCTGGCTGTTGGCCATGCTGACTAGGGCAGATTGGGGGTGAAGGGTCCTGAGATGAAGGGGCTCCAAAGTCCTTTCCCTTTGGGCAGGCATCTGTTTTGGGGGCCTAATCTGGCTTGCCTCTGTTAAAAACAGCTTCAACCCTAAAAAAAAAAAGCTCAACAACTTCAGTCCTAAAAAAGCTCAACAACTTGGTTGGCTCTTTGGTCGGCCCCTTCACTTCATCAAATCTGGCCCTCTTTGAAAAAAGTTTGGACACCACTGCCCTTGGGGAAGGAACATGGCTCAGTGGTAGAGCACCTGCTCTGCATGCAGAATGTCCCAAGTTTAATCTCTAGTGTCTCCAAGAAGGGCTGGGAGAGCCTTCATGTCTGGAATTCTGGAGAGCCACCGCCAGCCTGCATAGACAATGGACTGGCAGATCTAACTTACTGAGATTCCTGAGTCCAGCAACATCCGGAGGGGCATAGATTGTCTCCATCCCTGATTTGGTAGGCAGGACTTCCTTCCCTTCACCTTCTTCTGATTCACAAGCATAGACCTTGTTGGTGCTTGAGTGCTTTGATTTTTTTTCCATTTTCCTGACAGATTAGTCTTGTGGAGGCTGTTGCTTTAGTGCAGAAAGCAATGAATTTATCAGATGGCCAAGCCGGGCTGCGAGCAGTGGCAGTAGGAGGGAAGGGTGCTGTGCGGTTACAGTATCAGCTACGCAATAATAATGATAATAATAGCAAAGTGAACCTGGGCTTGTTTTCCAAGGGGAAAAGTCCTCTTTTGGCCAAACTTTTTTTTTTTTTTAAAGCAAAAGAAAGCCAACTATATGAGGACTTTTTTTTTAAAGTGATCTTTTTAAAAAAGAAAAGAGTTCTTACGCAAACCTTCCACTTTTGCTTGTTTCCAAGAAGGAGGGGGGTGGAAGTTACAGCTGGAGATGGGGAGTGGGAGTAGACTCTTGAAGGGGCATTGGAGGGGGAAAATTTCAGTCGTAAGGTCCCAAGTTCTGAAAGCAACCCTTTGTGTGTCCCCCTCCCTCTTCTCTCTGCACCCCCCTCCCTGCTTTGCCCATGGCAAAACATTGCACAATCAAGCTATTGTTTGTTTGGGGAAAGCTACAACATCCTATTGCAATTATTTATGGAATAAAATATTTGATGTTTTTCTAGGGGGTGGGAGGGGGTAGGAAAGCTCGGTTTCCCTTTTATCCTTTAAAAAAAACCCCAGCCAACCACTTATTAACTCCTTTTATGGATTCCTCAAAGAACTTCCATACCCTTTGTAAGTTCAGTAATGTAGGTGCCTCTTTGGTATAGGGCAGCCTTGCAAACAATTCTGTTCAGGGGACTAGTCTTACACTTGCTGCAGCCAGACTGTCAACCCACACAGGGGTTAGCTCAGTGGTAAAGCATCTGCTTTGCATGCAGAAAGGTCCCAAGTTCAATCCCCGGCATGCCTAGGTAGGGCTGAGAGAGATCCCTCTGCCTAAAACCCTGGAGAGCTGCTGCCAGTCAGGGTGGACTAAGCTAGCTGGATCATTGGCCTGGTTTACTGCATAAGACACCTTCCTTTGTGGTAGACAAAGGTATGTGGTAGATAAATATATGCAGCAGTGGCATGGAAAGACTGGGGGGAACCATTTCCTTGCCCGCCCGGTTGTTTTTCTACAGCCTTGTTATAATTGCTTCTTAATGGCTGGAAGTCCCTCGTACTGAGCAGTGACTTCCCATTTTAAAGTCTCCTAGTCCAGTGTTTCATACAGTATTTTGGAACTTTTGAAATTTGGGCCAAGTGTGTTGACTTCACAGTCGCTCTGTGCAAGTGCAAAACTTCATACAGCGCAAAAAGTTCAGCATCTTGAGATTTTAGAAGGAAAAGAGAAGTGCCTAGTCCCTAAGGTTAAATGCACAGGTTTGAAAACATAGCATCAGGAGTTGGGCAAGGAGGGATAGTGAACAGGATTTCCCAGTGCTTTGCAGTGTCATTTTCTGGGAATTGCAAGTCCGGGAGAGTATTGCTGAAGCACCCAGGTCCTCCTTGTAGGCTACCCAGAGAGCATCTTTTTGGTCACTGTGAAAACAGGATGCTGCACTAGAGGGGACATTGGCCCGATCCAGCAGGAACTCGTTTCTGTTTTTTGACACTTCTCAGAATGATAACAGGAAAAAAATACACAAACTGGTAAATACATGCAAGTTGTCCCCTCTTCTAAAATGCAGGATATCCACAGCACTTGCAGCGATTGCTCAAATGCATTGCTTATTGGACAACATTTCAAAGAGGCAAAAGAAGCTAGTTGGCAACGTGACTGACCTCTCCTTCATGCTGGTGTGGACGTTTTCAAATTCCAGTAGTGGAAGGATCTTGCGAAAGATAGAAACGAAGGCAGATCCCAACCAGGAGAAAGTGCCAAAGGAAAGGATTAGCACTGAAAACATTCAGCGCTTGATTTCTGTTCCAATTCTCTCTCTCTCCTCCCCCCCTTGCCCCCAGCCCTTTGACTTAACTGTAGATTCCAGAAAGCATATTCTGTGTGCTGGCAACAGGTTAATGTGAAATAGGCTTACAGTAGGAACGTCATCGTGATTGATCTCTCCCCTCAAAGAAGATGGTTCACTTGCTTCTATGTTAGAAACATCTTTCCACTACGGCTGTGTCAGATCTTACTCCTTTTAAATGTATGTGTTTTGTCTGATTCCCAGTCAAACAAGCCTCTTAGGATATTTTCTGTTTGGCAAATGAGTCTGGAAACTTGTCCAACATAGTTGTCATCCCTAATCCATCTAAGTGATCCTGGGCAGGAGAACAGCCATAGGTCTCCAGGCTCTTGTTCAACTTTCCCAGCCATCTATGAGTTTCTTCAGCATAATAGAAAATTGTTCATTACCTTCACCTACCCCTTTTTTAGATCAACTTTGCTAATAATAATAATCTACAACAATGGTTCCCAAACTCCCCGCCTCCCGACCAGTGTTAGAAACTGGGATAGAAAAGCTAGGAGCCAAATGGCTTCTGGGACCTGGGTTGTAGGCGCCAAAACAGAATGTCTAGTCGCCAAAATGACGGTTCCATTGTATATGTCATAAAAGAATGTCAAATCTCATAAAAAGTGACATATTGCCATTTCTGATGTCAGATTTCAGTCAATGATCACCTGTTTGTCCTACATGGAAAACAAAAACGGCATCACTGGGAGTTTATTGCTACTTACTGTATTGGAAGATGACCTGGCAACCATTGCAGCCATTTTGCATTTATGTGTTTGTTTATTGCATTTAGACCCCACTTTTTTCTACAAGGAGCTCAAGGTTGCCTACATGGTTCTCTCCCCACCTTCCCCCCGATACATAATCCCAACAATAACACTGTGAGTTGTGATGTTCTAATCTGACACTCTTACCATGACACACCACACTGGCATAAGGTGAGTGTAGCCTCATGGTATTGGGTATGTGTGACTTAAGCTTGTTTGTCTTCTTCCAGTCTCATATGGATTTCTGCTTCTACCCTCCAAATGTCCAATTTTGTACTCCGCAGTTCTCTTCCCCACCCCCAATTTTTCCATTTTTGCAGGACCAACAATGCGGGGGGGGGGGGTGAGTTCAAGACACAGAGTGGTTGGTTTGGGGTTTTTTGTGGGGGGGAGTAGTTATGGTGTGCTCTCAGCCCCCTCAGCTCCATCTCTCTCTCTCTCTCTCTCTCTCTCTCTCTCTCTCTCTCTCTGAAAATACAAGTGCCTTAAAGAGAAGCGAAAAATCGTATAGGCAAACATTATTGGCATGTGACTTAAAGGCACTGGTTAAAGGAGTAACAACAGCATCTGGCAGTATTAGACCAACAAAGGAAAGTATTTTAAAGGGAAAAACTAGAAACTGTAGGATCATATGTTAAATCTATTTTCAGCTTCCCCGGCAAAAACACAGCTATTCTTGGTGATTTGGCAGGGGTGGAAGAATGTGCACCTCCTTTGTGCACTGTTAGCCTTGTGTGTAGATCCCTGCAAAGAGAATGTGTGCAAAACACACACTTTGCAGTCGCACACAAAACAAATTTTTCTAAGGGAATCACTGTTGTAGGAGTGCTTACAGTGTCTGGTTCCACACTCCTGCCCCCTAATCCGTTCTGCCCTGGGCTTTGCAGATCTGCATGTTTACCTTCTTGGGTTATATTACATTATTATTATTATTATTATTATTATTATTATTATTATTATTATTGAACTTTTGGGGAAAATGAAACATTTCAGCTGCCTTGACTTTGCTCCTGCAGATAAAGATTCCAGTCTAGCGGGTAAGGGAAGCCCCCCAGCACATGTTGTTGAGAAACCATGGCCTCTGAGCGGTCTGGGCTGATCTGTGTGAGGTCTTAGAGAGCTGCGGGACAAGGAGGAGGAGATCTCAAGTGCAACTGGGAGAAAAGGCTTAATAGTAAAGTGATGTCATGGCTAACCAATCTGGAAAGCCCGTGTTAACTTCCCTGCTGAGACGTGATTCACAGGCGCTCAAAAGAGAGGCTAAGTTGTCTTGCCTTTTGCCCACTAAGTTTGCTGCTGGGAATCGGATATTTTGATGTTGCTGCTAGGATATTTTGAAGCTGTTCAGACTTTTTTTTTTTAAGGGCCAGTCAGTTATTTTGTGGCTTCCAGAAAGTGTGTAACAACAGAAGAGACAGATTACCAGTGTGGTATGAGGTAGAAATTTGTTACTACAAGATAATTACAGAACGTGTATGAATGCACACACGTTCATCTTAGAATAGCCTCGGTCAACCGGGTGCCTTCCACCTGCTTTGGGCTAAAGCTCTTGTCAGCAGGGGCTGTTGGGAGTTGTAGTCCGAAATTTTGGGAGGGCACCCAGTCAGCAAAGGCTGTATTAGAACATAGACTGTTTGCATAATAGCTTGTCACAAATAACTTGTGACGTTTTGCTTTAATATTTTATCACAGTATATTTTAAATAGTAAACTGCTGTGGGTGTCTTGGCGAGAAGGAAGTACAGAAGCAAAATAAAACGGAAGAAAATTCTTCATAGATTTTTTTAAAAAATAAGTGTACAGCCTATTTTCCTTAAGCAGGTGTTAATGCTACATTTTGTGCTTTTAAATAGGCATATCATTCCTCCCCATCCCCATGATAGACCTGTGCATATTTACTCCAGTTGTGTTTCAACACGATAATGTCGTAGTCGATGGAGATCTTGCAAAAATGCAGCCTGCTTTTCCACTGTTCTCTTTAAATAGGAACCTGCCTTTTACTGAGTCAGACTGTCCTACCCATCTAGCTCAGGACTCTTGCATTGTCTGGCAGCTGTTCTCCAGGATTTCAGACAGTGGTCTTTCCCTGCCCCACTTGGA